CCGTGATGAACTTATAGGCAGCCACAAGGTCGCCTCTCAACCTTCTCTTGAGGAGGCTGAAGAGGTCCAGGTGCCCCAGTCTCTCCTCATAGGGCTTGGCCTGCAAGCCCTTAACCATATGAGTGGCCCTTCTCTGGACCCTCTCCAGGTTATCCACATCCCTCTTGAAGTGCGGCGCCCAAAATTGCACGCAGTATTCCAACTGCGGTCTGACCAGCGCCCGATACAGGGGAAGTATCACCTCCTTGGATCTGTTTGTCATGCATCTGATGCACGATAAAGTGCCAATAGCTTTTCTGATGACTTCGTCACGCTGACAACTCATGTTCATCTTGGAGTCCACCAGGACTCCAAGATCCCTTTCCGCTTCCGTTCCACCAAGCAGGTCATTTCCTAGGCAGTAGGTATGCTGGACATTTTTCCTCCCTAGGTGCAGCACTTTGCATTTCTCCTTGTTGAATTACATTCTGTTGTTTTCATGTCCAACCTGTCCAGGTCTGCTTGTAGTTGCTCCCTGCCCTCCGGCGTGTCCACTTCTCCCCACAGTTTTGTGTCATCCGTAAACTTGGACAAAGTACACTTCACTCCCTGGTCCAAGTTGCTGATGAAGACATTAAAGGGTATCGGTCCAAGGACCGAGCCCTGCAGGACCCCACTGCCCACACCATTCCAGGTCGACACCGACCCATCCACTACAACTCTCTGGGTACAACCCTCCAGCCAATTCGCCACCCACCAGACTGTGCTGTCATCCAAGTCACAGCCTCTTAACTTGTTCACCAGTATGGAGTGGGATAAATAAAACCAATCAGAAATCATTTATTAGAATATTAGAATCAGCCATCTATAAATATTGGGTATAGGCTAGAGGGAAATTTGGAGAACTCAGCAAATTCAAGAAGATCTGCTGCCAATCTGCATGCCACCCTCCTCCCACCTCTCAAGTCTTCCCTGTCCAGTAGTTAGAGACCCTTGCACCTGGCTTCCCCATGCAGGGATGCACTGCAAGATCTGATCCATGGTCTCCAAAACACGCTCCACACCCCAAAAATCAAATCCTATCTAACCACTAAAGTAACATCTGGCAGGGGCATCAGGTGCCATTCAGAGGCGTATTTCAGAACAAAAAAGCGTAGATTACATTTGATAACACTGTTACAAACCTTTGTCAGTCAGCTCTTGTGCTTCTGTTAGAAAGCAGTTTAAGACCGTACTAAGATTGCTCAGAAGCAACTGACAGTGCTGAAGAGATTGTATGGTTTGTGGATCAATGAAATTACATGAGCCATCGAACAGTGGAACACCTGTTAAAGGACAAATATGACATGGTTAGTCCTTACATAGATTCAAAGCAGCAAAAGCATTCCTAAGTAAATATACAACCTCAGATGAACTGATAATATATAGCTATATTAACGCGTACATTCAAATTGGAAAGATAACTCCTGCAAATTAATTGCACATTAATACTTACATATACGGTGAAATTCTTCTTTTGTGCAAATTACTTTATTCCATGTCCACTCAAGAACGAAGCGCAGGTTAGCAGCAGAACTCGGTTGTTCTTATGAAAACAAACAAACAAGACCCATGAATACAAATTCTATTAGGATAAAAAATAAAAAAGTTGACAAAAATCAGCACACTACCTTCAGCTGTCCAGTGTTTGATGGAGCCAGTAAGAAGTCCTAAGGAACTTGTCTGGACAGCAGCTGATAGTATAGCTTTCAACTGTTGCTCCTAAAAATGTAACAAAGTAGGATAAAAACACTGTTATATTTTACCATTCAAACTATGATAAACTTGATTCTATTTATACAATGTCTCCGAGTAGCAAAATTCAATGACTACACCCAGACTAATTTCACATTGATTTTGCTAATTTGGTTAGAAACTTTTTAATGCTAGACCACATAGCTCATTTGTTTCACTAAGGTACATCTAATTTTGCTTTCACCTTTCTAGTCACTGTTTAACTCTTGGCAGTTACAGCTATATATCTGCATTTCATCCTTGACTTATATTTACTCAAATCCAAGATACCATTCGTCCCCCCCTCCCAAACACACGTAATATGGGGAGGGGCCACTTGTCTTGGATTTGAGTACAATTGGGGGAGCAGGCAGCTACTCTAGTGCTGGCTCCTACCCCAACTTGGGGGTCAGAATTGGAGCCACCATCTGCCAAGCCCTCACCTTGCTGCCTCTTCTCTTGCCCACCGCCTGCCTTCTCTCTCCCACTCCTGCCACTTACCTTCCAGCTCCAGCACCAGGTATGGAGCATGTGATGGCTCCAGCCCCAACCTGGCCATGCAGCAGCCAAGGCAGATTCTGCTGCCACCACAACTGCTGCTGCATGGCTGGGCTGGCCTGGAGCCACCACTTGTTCTATGCTCCAGGCTGGAACCAGAGCAGCAGCCAGAGGATTAAGCAGCAGCTGGAGGTGGGAGTGGGGAGGAAAGCCTGTTGGGGGCAGGCAGGCAGGCAGCAGAGAGCCAGCACTGGAATGGCAGATGGGGAAGCGGGTGCCAGGGCAGTTCCCTATAAGCTACAAAAAATCCCTCTGTCAAATTTACATCTACTAGTACGACATTTAGTTTGCATCAAATTTATGTTAGTCAACCAAAATAATTTGTGGGTTGACACCAACAATATAAAGATCATTTTCTCATATTTCTAGAACAAATTTCAAACAAAATCCAGGTTATTCTTACTGATACTTAATTATACACTCACCTGACTTAAACTAGAGGGCTGTACATCAACTAGTCTTGGAGACAGCAAACCAGCTACAAGACATCTATTGTAGCTATCAGGAATGGCTTCATTTAAAGAAGGACCAGATCTCTTTAAAAAATCCAAGGTCTGAAATCATAAAAAACTGCTATTTAAGAAAGCAGTACTGTAATTACCTGATTCATAAATATTAGATTATGACAATCTGGGTATTCACAATAGAAAAAGTGATACAGAAGCCTCAGAAATCTCTACCCAAAAAGCTAAAAGTTGCATCAAGGGAATATTTTTTTAAAAACACATTTTATAGATTTGAATAAGTGTGTTGTGTTTTAGAATGGCATGCTTCAGCAGAAGTTGATACCTGAACAATTACGATTTGCAAAAGAAGTCTCAGATTAGTCCGATATGATACAAACCATTAGGAAAAGCTTGTTTGAACATCTGCCTGCCTTTGCTGCTCAAAACACAAATGCTGTGTATACTGAAAGTTTTCAGTGCGTAACTCATGCACCAAAAATTTAGTCTACTGCAGTATATTTGTGAGGTCTTTGAAGACTGACTCCCAATTGAGTAGCTCTCAAAGTTCTGGCTTATTTTGTAAATTTCATATTTACTTGGTCGATTCACTTTGCCTAAGCCAGGGGCGGACAATTATTTCAGGCAGAGGGCCACTTACCCAATTTTGGCAGGCTTTTGAGGGCCACATGGGTAGCCCTGCCTCTTGACAGGTGCCCTACTCCCTGGTCACCATCTTGGGACCAAAGTCCCAGGGCCAGCACCGGTGGGGCCCAAAGCAGGGCACAGGCTGGCAGGGGTCTGTGGAGCTGGGCTGAGAGCTCCCCGCTCTCCCAGCCGCAGGGAGAGCGGGGAGCTGGCCCAGCTCCATAGAGTCCCTGCTGGCTGGGACCCTGCACTCCTGCCACCCTGTTCTGGACCCAGGACACCGGTGTGGGCCCTGTGCTCCTGCTGGCTCCTGCACCCACTCACACCCAATGCCCCCCAGTCCCATGGTACAGGCGGCGCGCAGCGCACAGCCCCAACCCCCTGCTTGCCAGCAGGGAAGAAGCTGATGCTAAGCACAGGGAAAAGTGGCCCCTAGCCCGCCCCATGGCCGGCGCTCCCTGCTGCAGCCGCTCACAGCCCACGCAGGGCTGTCTGGAGCAGGCACAGGCAGCCCTATGCAGGCTGCAAGCAGCTACAGTGCGGGGCGATGGCCATGGGGCAAGCGAGGGGCCGCTTTTCCCCCACTCTGCTCAGCACCACCTTGTAACCCAGCCCCGCTGCCAGTCTGGGCTCCACGCCGGCTCCGGGCTCACCGGTCGGCAGCAGCAGCTGTAGCCCGCCTGCTTGCCGCACCGGGCAGTGTTGGCTGCTGCTGGCCGCCCGGAGCTCATGTGCTGGGCAGCCTGCAGGCAGTGGTGGCAAATGCTGCCCGGCTCAGCAAGCAGGGGGGCCGCAGCTGCTGTTGCCATGCACAGCCCTGAGAGGCGAGCCCGGAGCCAGTGCGGGGCCCAGGCTGGCAGCGGGGGTGGGTGGGGGGCTGCCTGTGCCTGCTCCAGACAGCCCTGCGTGGGCTGTGAGCGGCTGCAGCAGGGAGCACCAGCCACGGGGCGGGGAAGCGCCTGCTTTCCTCCGCGCCAGGAAGGAGGCTGGGGAAAAGCTAAGGGCGGGGAAAAGCGGCCCCACGCCTGCCCCATGGCCAGCACCCCAAGCTGCAGCCGCTCAGAGCCCGCATGCGGTGGGTGAGGGGCTGCTTTTCCCCACTTTGTGCTTGGATTTTCCCTGGGACACTTTTCCCCGGGCTCCTCCCCTGCCCGTTGTTTTTGACAGGAACCAAGGGAAGATAAATATTAATTTTCTAAATTTTTTAGGGGCCCCACAGGCCGAATAGAATGGCCTCGCGGGTTGGATCCGACCCGCGGGCCGTATTTTGCCCACCCCTGGTCTAAACAGTTACTCAGATTGTCTTTTCCTCCCCAACCTATGTTAAAGAACAGAAAAGAAAATCCATGCTTAAAAGAAACTGAGTGCAAGCCTTTGTAATGAGAATAATAGTACCTTCTCCACAAACTAAAATTCAAAACCAAGGTGCACAATGAATGGCTTTGTCTTTGCCTGTTGAGATATCTGAGTCATACACATTAAATATCTATCCCTGTTCCAACAGCAATCAATAGTTTCACACTACTGACTTAAATGGAAACAAGTCATTATCCTTTAACATATGAGAAAATAAATTGTCAGTTTAGATATTTTTAAGCACAAAATACTTCCCTGCTGATAAATTTAACTCAGTACTTTATGAATGCTGCAAAACTTAATTTTTAGATTATTAATAAAGAAATATATGAAATTTACCTCTTTCTGAAACCCAGTGCAAGTCAGATGAACAACTCCAGAGTTCAATAAACAAGTAGCATCTAAGAAAACAAACCATATTTGGACTAAAATTTTCATTTTTAAGGGTCTATTACAGCAGCACAAGGCAACCATTTTCATTAAAAAGTAGTGATAATATTGGAATGCACTGAATTTAAGCAGGTACCAATGCTTCATCGGTTCTCTTACAAGTTTTATTTCAAAATATTCACTCGTGTGTGAGAAATTTATCTAACACATTACTTATGTAGAACAGTTCAGATAGTAAACAAATTAAAGCCATTTCAATTCTATAACCATCATCTGTTCAGAGACTGTATTACAAGCGGATTAAAAACCAAAATTCTAACACATCAAATATACTTTTCAACATTAATCATAGATTTTGGAAGTAAAATAGAAGTTTTAATAATTGTTACAAGTTACACATGGAAAATAAGACGAACAACAAGGAACGGCTAAACAAGGAATACAAGAGGGTCAGGAGAGAGACAGTTTAAGAGAACTCGTTTTATAAGATGGTTTAACCTCAACTCTGAAGCTTCCCCTATTAAAAACTACCTGTGGTGAAATGCATACCAAAATTGTAGGTGCTTGGATTAAAAAACTGCTCAGGTGGTGGGTAAGAAGGAGGAGCTCCACGACTTAAGCTTCTTTCATGTACCAGAAGATCCAAGATGTGGTGTGGAGAAGTCATACTCACAACAGCGTCCAGTGACCATAATGCAAAATAGGGGCAATTATAAAGAAATTCCCCTGGTCTATGAGAAAGTAAATGCATATAGTTAAACTGTAAATTAATGATATACGAACATTTTGAAAGCTATTGAAAAAAAAAACAAACCAACAATGATGGTCTTACCTTAAAGAATCTGGCATCTGAGCATGATACCAACGATTTATGTCAAATATGCCCAAATAAGTAGATGGTTTGCCCTGACCATATGTGTTCACTTGCCAGCTGAAGACTGACACACTGGTATCAGGAGATATCACTGTAATAAAGATAACATGATCCAAGAATGAGTCAGAAAATACTGGTGCACAATATATTTCAGCAAAATTTGTCACGCTGCTCGTTTAACATTCCATTTTTTAAGTGGAAAACACAAAATAAAATAATTTGGCAGAATATCAGATTGTCCTAAAGATATGAAATGATATATCTTCCCATAATCCAGTTTGATGTTGTTCAAATTAAATCAGATTTCAATAAAATATCTTACACTAATTTCCCTTTCTTCTATAATTGATTTACTAAGACCTTTAACAATCTGTTAATTGTTATATTAATAAGTCTACCAACTTAACATTCAACATCTTTTCACATTACTGTGCTTTTCATTACTCTTTGAGCACTGTGCAATGCTCATTTACATGTTCTTAGAAAAGCCACTCTCCAGCTGTCTTTAAAAACAAGAAATACAGGAGGGTCAGGAGAGAGACAGTTTAAGAGAACTCATTTTTATAAATAATTACTAGCAAAGTTAGCAGTTCTGTCTATACTTAGACTTGCCTAAAACCCCATTTACAGTCACTTTTCTTGAAACAGCTCATCAGGTGATGTGAACCACTCTGATTCCAAGCAGAAAAGGCAGAGAGAGACTGTCTGCTGCACGAGTAGTCTCTGTGCATGCAGTAAATACTGAAGCAAAAAGAGATGTCCAATTAAAAATGGAGAAAGATGATAAACTAGGCTGATGATAGGTCCAGGGAGCAAAGCAGAAAAATTTATAATCACTAGCAGTAGCACAACTAGGGTGAGGTGACTGGGGCAGAAAAAATGCAGATGCTGCCCAACCATGCCAGTGGCATGGCAGCAGCCATAAGTGACGCTACCCTCACGTGTTGCAGCTGTCCCAGGCACCTGGCTTTGTTATGACTCTGATCAATAGAGAATAATCTCTCCTGACCCTGAATAGAACCCAGAATTCCTTTACTCAGCAAATACCTGTGAATCCCCACAAGAAAGCACAAGATCATAGGAAAATAGGGTTGGAAGGGACTTCATAAAGTCATCTAGTCCGGCACCCTGCTCCAGGCAGGAACATTCCTAACTAAACCATCCCAGACACATGTCCATCTAACCCGCTCTTGAAATGTCCAGAGATGTAGATTCTACAACTCCTCTAGGTAACCTGTTTCAGTGCTTGACTGCCTGCATAATCAGAGAATTCCTCCTCATCTTCAGCCGAAATTTCCTCTGCTACAGCTTGAGGCCAATGCTTCTAGTCCTGTCCTCTACCACCACAAAGAAAAGCCCATCTCCATCCTCTCTCTAATTGCTCTTCAGGTATTTGAAGACTTATCAAATCCCCTGTCTCATTTTCTCCATCCAGCATTAAAAGCATCTAGCATAGGTCTCTTGCCCCTCTCTGTAACATGCACTATATTTTCTTGCATAGAACATTCCCTGGAATAGTACATCATTCTGACTGTCAAACAAAGTAAAGAAAAGATATTTTTCAATAAGAGATATGGCTGCAAAGAACAAGGACAGAGTCTCATCTTCAGTTTACTCACCTCCCTTTCCTGCTTAAGCAAAGCTGAAACCCTAGCTGCTCCTGCTAGTTTCCATGGGTGGTTATACAACTCTAAAATGAACTAAAGAGTCTTCAGGGCTGTGAAATAGGAGGAAACAGACCAGGAGCAGATAGCAGACAACAAAATTGCCCTAAGAAAGGTTAACTTGATTAGTAGAACATCAAGACCATTAAAAAGGAAATATCATTAACACCTGTGGAATGCAGAAGAATAAGCCATTAAGTCAACTAACTCTCTCAGTTACCTGACTAGGTATGCCACAGCTGTTGCTCTGTGGAGCAGTATTACAGTAAAAGCTTTGTTATCTGGCACCCATGGGGAATGCAGGGTGCCAGATAACAAAATATGCCGGTTATCTGAGAGGCTTGAACAGGCGTCCTTGCCTGTTGGGGCCGCTGCCTTTCCTGCTGTGTTGCCACCCCTTTTGCGGGCCCCAGGCAGGCTGCCATGCTCCAGGCCGTGGGGCCTCAGCAGCACAGGTTGCTTTGCCCCAGGCCATGGGGGCTCGGTGAAACCAAAAAAGTGCCATGGTGGGCACTTCTGGTTTTGCTTTTACCTTACAAGCCGGAATGCCGGTTACTAGAGCATGCTGGCTTGTAAAGCTGCGTTATCCGGCACCTTTATTGTATTTAAACGCTTCAAATCAAAACAGGGTGCTTCTATCCCAAGCAGAAAAATCAGCTTCCCCTCTCAATCTGGGGAAGGGTGTTGTGTGCAAGAAAATATGGTAATAACCTACTGTTACTACTACTCTAGCAGCTCCAAATGACAGATCTATGCTGTTAATTTTAAATGTTTTCAAATCGTATTGACTACCTGTTTTGAGGTCAATAACTAGCACATAATATTCCCCCTACCCCATATTTGTTAAGACACGGGTTAGCACACGCAAAAAAGGTATACTGAAAGGACATGAAGGCAGCATAGTCAGGTGCTCACATACCAAGAATTATTAGAATTAAAGTTACTTGTGCAACTTTCATTCAGTCTATGAATATGCTTTATAAACAACTTTTTATATGACCAGATGCTACTTTTTCCATACGATCCTTGCTCAGTGACCCTGCAACATGAATTTCTCTTAATTTAGCTTTTGTATGGGATTTTTATGTAAAAACAGCATTACATTAAAAAAAACCCAAAAAAATCTTAAAAGAAAATCTTATAGTCTGCCACATGTAGGCTTTCTAGGAAATGTTATGCAGAAAGAATATTTACGACTTAAACCGCAATATAAGGACCCAGAATGTGATGCACGCAACTGAAAAAAAGGAGGCGCAATAAAGCTCAGTCTAACTTGGCACTCTATAAAACAAACACAGAACTAAATATATGCAACAGACTAAAGAAGGAAGAAATTAGGTAGACAAAGGAATTACAGGGTAGCTTTTGCTGCCCATCAACAAAATTCACTTCTTGTAGAAATAACATCATCTTCTCTTGCTACTATTACACATTGAAGCAAAATATTTCATACTCCTATTCAAACCAAAGCTTAGCATTTTTCTAGTAAAACTAATATAGAACATGGATTGTGTTCTATTTTTAGATTTGTCTTTAACTTAAAAGATGAGTGAATACTAGCATCTAAACCTTAGTTCAGAAATGCATAACTTCTCAAACATGGACATAACAGTGCAACAGGAAAAACCTGAGTGATGTCGCTTTTTCAGTGCAATGCAAACATCTACTCTCTGGTCTTTGAATAAAGTAGGCAAGTTAGACTACATAGCCAAGTCAACTTTTAGGATGAGGGTACAGTATTATCCCAGAATGATGCTCATCACCTCTCACATGCTGAAACAAATATTTTTAGGATCCAACAATGCGACAGTTTATTTTGGGAAAATTTTGGCTAGCATACAAAAATTCAAACCTTCATTCATGCCATCTTCTCTGTCAACATGGATTCGAAATTTTTCTATGGTCTGACAACTAAGCAATTTGGTATTGCTCGTCTGTCCTCTTAAGGAAAAGACACCACCTGTGAGGTCTAGACTGTACCTTTCTTCACAATACTCCAAGCCCTGAAAGACAAAAAAAAAAATATATATATATATTATATATATTATGCTTAGATATATAGAAGACCACATCTCTTACATGTCACCTGAACTAAGAAACCTCAAAATACTTTTTAAAAGAATATCTTCAGTTATGTTACAAAAATAAGGATGTGCAATAACCTGGATCTCCAACTGTTTTGTGAGCAAAACACACTATTCTATTAATGTATACCATTTTCATAATTCCAAAGAATATGCCATTATCTAGTTTTACAATTATTTGCTACTATTTACATTAAATGATTCAAAACAAGCTTTCCCTTTTAATTTATTTTCAAAACATTATGAACTTGAAAAGCAAAATAGAAATTTCTATATTGTCACTCATATACCCACATTTAAAGGCTTTTTTAAAAAAATGTAAAACAACGATTTTTTAAAAAATCTAAAACAAATGGTAAGTCCTATCACCTTAACCAAATACATTTTGGGCCTGGAGAGATGACGCATTGGTATCAGTGTAGCCTACACTTATTCCACACAACAAAATAAACTACACCAGAACCTAAAGCAGCCAGACATGCAGGTATGCTGGAATAGCTGCACCCAGTAGGCAACTATTATAGAGCATCACCACTAGGTGTGGAAGAGCAGAACAACCTGTTGGCCTTTGGCAAATGGCTAACCAAGTTATCCTGCAGATAGATAATACCTATTATTTGTCTAACTGTCAGAGATTTACCCCCATCTTCCAGGGGTAGGTTCTACACCTGATAGGGTGAAAATACCCTGGTTCGCTGGTTTACACATAGCTTGCATGTTTCCTATCTAGGCCCTTTGTATGGTGTGAAGAAAAACATAAGCATAGCATGTACAGAAATGCACAACTGAAAATACATAAACAATTATGCCAGTCATATAATCAAGGAAGACACCTAAAAGCAAGTAGTACTGCATCTGTAATCATAACAAGATAATCAAGTTTATAATGCATGATAATATGCAATTATGAAAAAGGTTTTACTTAGCAAAACTGGGAGGGGGGAATGATCTATTCTTTAGTTAATACTAACATGATTGGTAAGTGAGAATGAAGCTTTTCTGGCAGTAAAGGCCACGCATGACAGAAGCAAACAAAGTCAGGATTTAAACTGAAGTGTTTGTATATTTTTCCAAGACAGTCCTACAATGTAACCCTGTATAAATGCAGCACAGGAGTGTAAGAAATATGCCAATTTTAAATTCCAATAAATTAATCTCTCTCATGTGTACACACTGCTTCCAAAATACAGTAAAGCATCAAGTACCTAAATGAACTAGGACAACTCATTCACAAAAATCAGGTCATTCAGCTTATGAAACATGCATTATGTGAACAATGGCAGATTCTAAAGCATTTTTTCTTAACAGATTCAACTTTTTAAAAAGTATTGATTTCAATTTCTTTTCTCAATTGCTAAAAATTTTTTAGCTCCATTGCTGTCACGTCTACTAAACACCATGCAATACAGCAGCAGTCCTGTGTTCAGGTAACTGAATGGTTCAGATAGTGTTTGGATAACTGACCCTCTACTACATTCAGAAAGAACAGTATCAGAATAGAAATGGAGCAAGTAAAAAGGGAATAATTGCTAAAATGTTAGATTGCTGAAGTAATTTTTATGAATACAGTAAACAAGCTCAGACAACACAAAACAGGCTGCTAAGTTATGATATCCACTACGACAGCATCTAACATTGGAATACTTAACATGTTATGTATGACATATTTGGAGCAACCTACAATGGTTTATGCCTACTATATCTTAACCAGGTTACTGTACCAGGCTGTGCAGCATGGCCCTGAAGCCACCAAGTAGTCTCCAAATACAGCATAGCTGTTCCAGGACTGTGCTGCTCGCAGCAGTCGCTCTGGGATGTAAACTACCATGGGTGCTCTATGCACCCTAGCATGTTGCCTGCAGGTCACTCGAGACCCTTGGATAGCACTGCAGGGGACAGATGATATAGCTTTACTGGCCAGACCCTTATGATTGACACCCCTGCTTTAAGGGTTAAGAGAAAATGCATACACACTGAACTACAACTCGGAAAACTAATCATACTTTAGATACATAGGAGAGACCTGTGACCTGTGCCTGAAATTAAAAAGTGAGTCCGTGAAAGACTGTAAAGAAATTTTTCCAAAGGACAGTAACAGTCTTGAACAACTGTTCTGAAAACACCTTCCCTTCTTATATGCATGGCTCCTACTGTTCAGATGAATCAACAATTTTGTTTGTTTATAAGAAGGTTACCTTGAATTATTGTATTCACCATTGATCACAGTTCCCCTAAAGAAATAATTGCAAGTGCTGAACCCAACAGGAGTGGAAGGTAAATGCTGTGGTACAAAGGGCCTGACAACATAGTAAGTACCTCTGTCTATAGGCAGCAGAGCTGCAAAACTACCCCAGAGAAAGAAAGACCTGATGGAAGTGCACTCTGGTAAACCTGGAGCAGAAGTCATGATTGCAACTAGCCACAACTACACATTGAATAAAACAGTATTACATATTTACCTCATACATAATTTGTCCGGATGCCAAGCGCTTTCTGTCACCAAAGGCCAACTGCAGCAGATGTAAACTCACAACATCACCTTCACTAAAAGGAAATTAATGATAAATTTATGTAAAATTTACAAGGTTCACTTTGAATCCATCCAAAACATTTAAGATTATATTGAACACTGTGTTAAAAATCTACCACTAAAAACATTTACAGTTTACATCTAAAAATAATGCTTATCAATCTAAGACAAGCAATCATGGTTGGACAGAAGAGGAGGTAAAGTTGAAGCAAACATCTTTGCTGTGGCATTTATCTCTTACTTGACTGAATTCTGTGACTTCAATTTTAGATCAGCTCCAACAGCTTCCAATGAATTCTTACTATAACTTTTTCCAGAACCAACATGTACCTATATAGCGCTGCTTGCAATTATTTTTTGCAGTGAAAAGTTGAGATTGGGTCCTTGACCCAAAATATCTCTAATTAAAATCTAAAATCTAAGAAACTTGCTTTGATTGTATTCTGCTGGCAGAGTATAGGCTTTGAACAATTAATGACACAGTAAGTCAAAAACTCAAGCTTTGGCCCTGGACAGATATAACATTTGAAACGCTCCACACAACTAGTACTTTAAAGGCATGAGCACTGACATGTGCACCCCCCAAAAAATCAAATGGGCCAAACAGCAACTATTAGGAAGTACTTCAGTTTGCAGTTTCAGCTTACAGTTACATCTGCAGATTTTGAAGAGGGGTTGCTCAGTCCTCCAGTATCACACAGTGCTCCACTCTCTGCCCCCACACCTCTTACCTGCAGGTCACTTGGAACCTGCAGGCAAGGAGTGTGGGAGCAGAGGAGGATGAATGAGGTAAAGAGTGGGGCAGACAGTCATTAGCACTCTCCTGCATGTCCAGTAATCCCCAAGGCTGGAGAGCAGGAAATCCTGCTTAATTCTCTTCCCCCAGTCTCCCAGTTTTAGCAGGAGGCTTGGGGCTCCCAGTCTCAGTGGGTGGACATTTATCTGTTCTTGGTAATCTCTGCGGCTTGAGAGCCATGCAAGGAATTATTCTCTCCCATCCCAGGGATGTAGATAAAAATTCCTTGCACACATGACCAATGAAATTGGAAGATGGAACGCCAAGCACACAGGAAACTATTCATCGGATGTCTGATCTGCTCTCCCCCCACCACAGGGGGGAAAAACTACAGGAACAAGCAACCTCTGTGCCCATGTCTAGAGATCATGCTACTACATGAGATTCATAGATGTTAGGGTCGGAAGGGACCTCAATAGATCATCGAGTCTGACCCCCTGCATAGGCAGGAAAGTGCTGGGTCTAGATGACCCCAGCTAGATGCTTATCTAACCTCCTCCTGAAGACCCCCAGGGTAGGGGAGAGCACCACCTCCCTTGGGAGCCCGTTCCAGACCTTGGCCACTCGAACTGTGAAGAAGTTCTTCCTAATGTCCAGTTTAAATCTGCTCTCCGCTAGCTTGTGGCCATTATTTCTTGTAACCCCCGGGGGCCCCTTGGTGAATAAAAACTCACCAATTCCCTTCTGTGCCCCCGTGATGAACTTACAGGCAGCCACAAGGTCGCCTCTCAACCTTCTCTTGCAGTTGAGGATACAGCATGAACTGTCTGCTACTGAAGTACTTCCTTTTTGAAGTGCTTCACATGTTATGTCTGTCCAGGACCTCTGAGTTTAAGGAAGAATGAAAGGATAAACTGTATAACTTTGCTTAATTTCTGAAGTCTTGAACAAACTGGATATTAAAAACATATAAAAAGAACTACTAGCTCCCAGAACATTCAAATACAACAAACACAATTTTAAGATGGTAATTTAAAAAAAGAGACAATACCACCTCCCCCCACCCCCACAATTCAAAAGGGAGAGTATAAGACAAGAAAAAAATGTCTATTATTGGTGTTCAGATCTTCAAATGGGATATATAAGAAGATGAGAAAGGAAGCGAAAGATGCTTTTGACAATGAATAGTTTTCCAAGGAAAGTACTTCTGACATTTAAAAACTAGATTAAATAAAGTGTAAAACAATAAAGAAAAAAATAGTAAGGAGATCCTACACATGTCTATCGTGACCATCATGTACCCAGGATGTCTTATAAGACACCAAGGAAGGCACATAGATTTACACATGTAACATGTTCAAATATAGATACGCATGTATAAACTCCATCATCACACCTCAACAGATGCAAGAAGTTATTAACAGCTATTTTTCTGAATCACCTTTCTTGCGTGGACTGAACAGCCCATAAGTAACAGCAGTTGCGGGGATCATTTTCAGGTTCTTGAAAAGTAACGGCATACACAGGAATCCTTCCTCCTTCTAACTGAAAGTGATACCTGAACCAGGTGAAAAAAAAAAATTCAGGTGATGACAGCAGTGGTTCCCAAACTGTGGTCCAAAATGCTAGAGCAAGTAAGCGGTTCACAGATCGCACAATGCCCTAGGCCCACAGCCCCTCCGCCCCCCCGATACTTCAGCTGACACTCTCCTTGCCCTTACAGAATGTGCAATGAAAGGTTAATCAGGCTGCCTGACTACCAACGAGAAGCACTGGGGGCAGACAGTGCTCCTTTAGTCCAAAAAAAGTGAAGTCAACACCAAATTAGATTGATGTTCCTGAACTGCACCCATATTCCAAGTCATCTAATCTGCACTTCAAAAGCCATAGCATGTTCTCTTGCCAGGACTATTCTATACTTATAAGGCTTCTTCCTAATTTTAAGTAGCTGTCCAGCCAATTCAGGCAACTGAACACGATAGCAAATGAACGTAAATATGAAAAAATGTAATGTTCCTGTATTTACTCAAATCAAAGACAAGGCTCCCCCCTTCCCCCGATTCAATATGGGGAAAAAGAAACCGCATCCTGGAATTAAACACATCTGGGGCAGGTGGTTCCTGTGGCTCCAGCCGTGGCTTTCTCCAATCCCAGGGAAGATCACATAGTGCAGAGAGCTTCAACACTGACCCAGGGGAGATCATGAGGTGTAAGGGAGAAGGGAGAGCCTGAGTGAGACTGCACACCTGTAGGGAAGCTGCCACTGCCTTGCTGGGTCTGAAGCCACCACATGCTCCATGACCCAGGCCAGAGCCAGGTAGCAGGTGGTACAGTCACTGGGTGGAGGGGAATGGGGGCTACAAGTGTGGAGCAAGCAGAAAGGCAAGAGGCAGGCTTCTTGTTGTTTGGGATTGGGTAAATGCAATATGTATATTTGGACTAGATATACCTATCAACGTACTTCTTCTCTTTATAGTATGTACAGTTAATTTAGCAGCAAGCAAGGACAGCTGAAAAGTCTTCTCCATACATGGCAGGGACCAAGTAAGCAAGTAAGATGTTAAACCACCCACAGAAATTTTACTTCCTTCTCCCTCACTATACCATAACTTTTTCCAAAAAATTCTATGAGATTTGTTTAATCTACCTTTGTGAAATGAACATCTTTCCTCAAATTTATGAGTTGAGTTCTAATAAAATTTCTAATCTAACCATTGCATTAGGATGAATGCATATTTTTCCTTTACCATATCTACTTAGAAGGCAAGGTCCATAAGAGATCCAATGCCACAACAACCTCACTTTTAGGTCCTTGTATCTCAGAGTAGAATCTAAAGCCTGAGTTAAAAAAATTAGGTTTCATATCAGTGCATGAGAGTCTGGCACCTCAAGGCGGTGGTGCAACACGTATACCGATTAAGGAGCTACCTACTAGTTATGTCTCTGAAATCCCTCCCCTCTCCAGCATGTAGGAACGTTAAAGTCAGGGCTGTTAAGCCGGCACCTCCAAACCTTGGGATCCCAAGCTGAAAATATGCTCTGCAGGACAGATGTCTGTAAGTTATCTTTGAAAGAACTAAAATGGCTTCACTCTTACCTTTTATAAAGCCAGAGAAGGTGCCCACTTTATATATAATAGTTAAAGCTAACAGATATATTCTTTAAATTTATAACATCTTATAGTACACCACAGATTCATGGCTAGAGTCTCACTCTTGCTCAGGGCCATATGGATAGTCAAACCTGGGGTCAGGAAAGAATTTTAATTCTCAAACTGGCCTGCATTCATTTTTCACTGCAATGTAGATCAGGGCCCTTTTTCAAAGATCTTCTAAGAGTATTAACCAACTATTTCCTTGCTGCAGTAGCAAGGCAGCAGGGATCTCATCCCCCTTTTCATTTATGGCATATTACAGGGTCGTGTTGGTATTTTTAATTTTATGTCTGGTAGATGCATGAGAATGATTGAAGTGGCAATTTTGCCAATTATTTAGGTAAATGACTGTCTACAAATACAGAGGTCATTGTTATCATTCATTTCCACCCCCATCTGCTTAAAATTTGCTTTTTTATGGAGCATGGGGCCCATAAGAAGACACCAGGTCCTAATCAATACCTAGAAGCATTATTTGTTTCTACATTAAGGGATTTAAATGAAAGAATTGTGTCTTTTCAGTTGTTTTAGTGTTACCATTGTTTATTAGTGGCTCCAAAATATGCACACTTGTCGTGACTAACAATACCTGTGCTTAAATTAATTCCACTGATTCATGTAAAAAACCTTGAAGTGGTACTGTATTTTAATAGTATATTCCAAAGTGTTTGCACTCCCTCTCCCATCTTTCTATGGCCCTCAAGTCTGCACACTCTCTGAGCCACTCTCCAAGTATTTTGCAAACACAAGGAATTTCATTTTGTATAAACCAACTCTTGTTTATTTTTTTAAATATAATTACCAATATAATTAACAGTAGAAGGTATAAGTGATGTTAGTCAATCATTATACAAACCAACAACTGGAGATGTAATAGACTTTTCTATACTATATCTATAGGAGAATGTGATGTAAAATTATCTATAAAACCAGAACTCTGGACCACTATACAAGTGTCCAGTTCATAGTTGCCTCTCTTTACCCTACACCAATGGCAAATTACAATACAGAAGAAATCAGAGATCAGGGCCAAAGGAAAGTCTTCAATCTTAGTCACCACTGGAGTGTGTGGAAAATTATTTCTAAAGACAAAAGCCTGATGATGGATATTTTTTAATCTGTCCTGCTAGTCTCATCTCAGACCTTAAGAGATATTGCTATGAAAGTCAAGTAAATCAACAGAATTGCTCTGTAAGCCTGGTGTACCTTACTGCAATAAGGTTTTTTTAGGTTAAAGAATTAAAATTAGAAATGACGTACTTCCACAATTCATTAAATACCATTAAAACATGTAAGTAGTTCACTTTAGTTTTGCATAAACCAGTGTCCTCTCACATTGAAAGATATCTACAGGTCTGTCACCAAGACACTTCAATATGCAGATGTAGTAGGCAAGGTAACCAATTTAAAAAGCAGCCACATAAAAGCAAGAAGTCAATTCAAATCACACATCACTAAAAATCTTACTTTAGAATCAGATTTTTCCAAGTGAATACTGTATTCAAGGACTTGAACAAATGGCTTTTTCTAGTTACATTTTACTTGGTCATGTGAAATAACTTAGCTCCCCCACCTACCCCAAGACAGACAAAAACAAAGGCATACTTACTCTTTCTTCAAGGTTTTCATATTCCACAGTGAAAGATAGCCATCTGAGAAACCCACAACCAGCTGGTTGCTCCTGCTTATGTAACACAGGGTGGATACTGCTGTGCCTGATGGGTTCAACAGCTGGAAACAAAGATGTCTCCCTTCTCTCATCACAGCTTCTCTTATTTGTGGGATTTCAGCAGGGATCCCAGTGATCACTTCTAGGTCTACAAACACCCACACAATAATATGCATTATAAAAAGTTACAGCACTCTGCTTCTTCAAGATAGGAGTTTACCATTATGCCAATGTATTATCCGGTTTCATTGCCCTCATCAAACCTCCAATGTCTTCAATGCTTTCAATCAGCATATATACTGTGCATTTAATTTTAAGAAAAAAGGAACTGCCAAACTGGATTAGACAAACAGTTGATTTAGGTCAGTATTAGTCTCATACATCACAGGAAAGTACAAGAATTCCCATGATGGACATTTGTGAGATGATGTGCCTATAAGGAAAGTTTCTACTTAGGCCCTGTTAGCCAGTAGTTCGCTAAGGTCCCAAAGCACGAAGATTTATTTATATCCTTTAGGCCAGAGGTTCCCAACCACTGGGCAGTGGCCCGGTACTTGGCTGTGAAGGGTTGGCTGCCAGGTTGTGGCACGAACCCCCTGCTCGGACCGCCGTCCGCCTAAGTAAGCAGCTTCCGCCACTGGCAGTGACATGCAGGATTAAAGCTGGGGGGGCGGGGCAGCCCCAGGATGGAGGCAGGTAGCTCTGTTCGCCCTGTCTCGCTCCTGTGCCAGTCCACAGGGAAAACAAAGGTTGGGAACCACTGCTTTAGGCCAACTGCTGAAAACAACAAATCGCCAAGAAGCTACTTTGAGCACCATCATCAAAAAGACAGTGGATACACACAAACTTATGGAGATGCAAAAATCATTAGTGCAGCCTTACTGTTTAAGCTTTATTTATTTATTTAAAGAAAAAAAGCTCCTCTTCTTGGCTCCAAGTCTCTCTCTAGAATCATATTCTTTTTACCAAAAAGTCTTATAAAAATGGGTACCTAGTTTCATTTGTAAATTCTGATTTTGGTATTTTAGGGTCTACTTCCTTTGATATCAACAGCAAAACTCCCACCAAGCTCAATGGTACAGATTTCAGCTTCTTAAAATGATTTACTAATCTAAATTTTTTAATAAAATTTTGGTTTTAGCAACCAAAATATGAGATCACACCCACTCCAGCTCAGGTGTATGTGGTGTCAGGAAGATATTTGTTTCTGTCAACAGGTGCTTTTTTTTTTTTTTTTTTTACACACACACACACACACACAGTGTACTCCATTTAAGTGCACAGCCTCATGACTGAAAAAAAGCTACCTACTTACGTGGAGTATGCATTGATCCAAACTTAATATAAACAATCAATACTTGACTATATGGTGCTGTCAGTGCTGCAGTATTAACAACCCTGAAACAGTCTAGGCTCTTCTCATTTTCAAGCCTTCTGATAGCAGTCCCCATAATAACTATTAGAAACCTTGTATTGCTAATAATCATGGCACCGACACAACTGTATGTCCAGGGTGGTCTAACTGTGGCACACATGCCACAAGTGCCACTGGCAGTCTCTGTGTGGCACACAGCAGACCAGGGAGGGGACAGGAAGCAGTTAAAGGGAGATTTTCTACAAAATAGACAGTTACAGTTAATATGCAGTTAACCAGAATACAAATTTAGTTATAAATTTGACAGTGCAGTTGAAAGATACTCTGCACATAGGCAGAATACACTGTATTACATTTAAAATGGTGAACATTTATCAGTGAGAAAACTTTATTTTATTTTTCAACAAGGAAATTTAAAATAAGTTTACCTGATGCTTCTACTTCATTCTGACTACATGACAAATCATCCAGACAAAGATCCACCAGAAGGATATGTCCAACATCTGTTACCACGGCTGCCACACCAAAAAGCCATCGTAGACTCTGGTGCAAATGCTGGGTGCTCACACTGGCTCCTCCGTGACTTATTATGGGTTCTATAGCAGTTACCTAGTAGAAAACTGTGCATTAATGTTTAAGCCATTTGACAAGCTAAAGTCTTTCAATAAAAGAAATTAAATTTAGCATACTAGGAATACCATTCTGTACTTAGGTTATTTAAAATTTGATGGCAAAATGTTTTCTCAGACTGTTTTAATAAAACTGATACCCGAGACTGGAGGCAGGACCAAGCATCTTCACAGCTACAAAATCCACTACTGAAGTTATCACTGCTCTCAGTCACATAAATGCTAACCCAGGTAATCTGACCTCTATCTTCTTTTCCCCTCAAAGTTATTTGCCCCTTGTTACTCAAGGGATTACCAAAAAAAAATTAAAGTTAATTCAGATTCTTGCTAATGGAGTACTAGCAGCTGCACTTAAGAGCGCAGAAGTACAGCAAGCATCTCAGTGTATAACAACTTCCTTCAAATTCCGGTTTTGGTTTCTTTTTATTTATGCAGGTTTTTCCCTTAGCTAATGGCTACAAGCAGAAACCTTTTTTACTTTAATACATAGCCTTGCAAGAGCTGTCTTGGCTCTTAAGGCTTCATTGTTCTATAGGGGAAACTGAAAGGGCATTTCTCTCATTGCAGCATGGCCTGGTTTTCATATTTCTCAGTCATTGCCAACTCAGATTCTGGGACCATGCAGACAAAACGAAGTTTCCTCAGTTCATTGAATGTGAATGCTATTCTTTTGCCACCATTCAAATAAGAAGAATTTTCAAAAACGTTGTTTAATACTCTCTCAAATCAACTATTTAAGAGTATTAAACTTGTATGCCAGTAAAAAATAAAAAACAAATTAATGCAAACAGCATTTCAATTGTTTAATGCAATATGTATACACCATGATAAATTATGATGCTTCCCTATAAAAACTGAAAAATAAATATACTTGTTTCTTTTTTTTAACCCACTCTTTTGGAACAGTTAATTCTATGTATGGCCAACATATGCAGACATCATGTATTCTTCTCCTATAGCAAAGTCTTCACGCATTAACATTTTGGTATCTTGAGCTAAAAATCTTAAGGCAGCGTGAAATGGCATAATCTAATTGACTGCACCAGATATATAACTGGACACCTGAAATTGAACACCTAATCCATAATTTCAAGACTCCACTATAATATTAAAAAATTCACAGGAAATTAATTTCTGAAAACAAGAACTAAAAATGAATCCAACCATTATGTAAGAAAATGTAACATGATTTAATGCTTGGTATTACAACATACAAACTTCCCATGGTAGAACTACAAGGGCAATGAAACTACTTCTATACCCAAGTAACAATATTCACAGCAAAATGAAGGCGGACTAAATAATAATTAAAAAACAAAAGAAAAACAAAACCAACCAAAAAAAAAAAAATCAGTCTGGACAAAAAATTTATATTTGCTTTGCCAAGTCACTCATCACAACTTAAAACATTCCAGTCCTATTCAGGGCCTGCTTCTAGTTCTTCCTAATTTAATCTGACATGCCTGAAAGCTTTAAAGGATAGCAGAACAAAACCCATAAGTTAAACATGTTTGCAAAAGTTAAGTCTTCCTTAGATGTGCAGAAAATCGCTCCCATAAGGTGTTATTTCTCTCTGACACTGGGGTATCAATAGTCAGGTAAGCCTGACTTTGCTCCAATGTTTTCTGAATATTAGCCAAAAGCTATCATCTCCCATAAATCTTTAGTTTCACAATACCACTTTTTACACCAAAAAACCCTCTATAACATGATCAGTACAGTCCCCACTTTGTTTTCTTTCAGATCCTTTTTGATGGCTTACCACTAGCATGATACTTAGAACCCTGTACATGTTGAAGTTTAGGCAAATAAGATGCGTGACCCTCTCTCAACCCCTTATCCTTACTGACTTTACCATCCCTCAGCCTATTCTTCACCCCAATTTTAAATGCAATATGTAACAAAACCATGTCAATTCTTCACCATATTAATTTACTTATTATATAGCATACCCAAAACAATCAAAGGGTAGGGGAATTCTTAGACCAGAGGTCGAACTCACTTTCCACCCTGGCTCCTTATAGTCCAGATCCAGTCTGGGGCACACGACAACAGTGAAAGCTTCAGTTCCAGCATGGGGCCCACAGCACACCTATAGCTCCTCCTGCATGTCCTGTGCCAGAACCAGAGAGCTACACGGCTTGTGCCACAGCAGCAGCTCTAGCTCCAGCACAAGGCACACAGCAGCAACAGCTCTAGCATGGGGCAGTGATGGGGCTGGTGGTCGAGGACTTGGGACAGTGGTGGTGAAGTGGCTGGAGGGTGACCAGGGTTGTATCGGGCCTCACTCCCCCTCCTGCTGCCATTTACCACATCCACTGTGGTGCCAAGCATTCTGGATTCTGTGGTAGGCCTTCCCCCACAGCTTCCAGTGGCCCGTCAGTAACCCAGCAGGCTGGACAGAACATTCTACAGGCCAGATATGGCTTGCGGGCTATATATTTAATAATCCTGTCTTAGATCAAGCTTTTAAAGGGAGGGAAGGTTTCTTGCATTTGCTCTATTGTGTGAGGAGCAATCAATCCAAGTGACACTTATGGGTACCACTATAATATAAATCTTTACCACCACCAATTATGAAAAAAAGGTGGAAAGGAGGGAAAAGAGGACAGAGAGCCAGAGACGTCTCCAAAAGCTGGTAACGGAGAGGAGTCATTGTGGGGGGGAAAAAAAAGGCAAAATGGATAACACTGCTAGCAATTCTCGACACCTCAATGCTAGCAATTCTTGACACCTCAATTAGTTAAATGTGATCCTTGCCTATATTAAGAAAAGCTGTATAACAATAATTACCTTGCTTTAGAGTAAGGGTTTGCATAAACATTACACATGGTTACACCACTGAACATTTTCTGAATACAGACAAGGCTAAGTTAAAACATGACCAACAAAACTACCAGTACAAAGAATGGTCACATATATGCCAAGAGAGCTCCCCGCACTCTCTTCTACACTCTGAAAAAAGGTGGAATGCTTTATATAAAATTGAGGTTGTGTATTAAGCATTCATGTGTAGCAGGGGAAAATTTCCACCACTAGAAAGGACTCCAGGAGAAGAAGTAGTAGAAACATTCAGCTTGCAACTGTCCCCTCTCCTCTGCTCTTTGCACCTTCTTTCCTGAGACCACAGTGATCCCGGTCTGGGGAAAACATGCGGAGCAAGCTTGTGGCACTGTTTGGCCCGCTCAACTGCCAGGACCAGGAGCTGAGCAGCCAAAACAAAGCCCGTAACTACTTCTCATGCTGGGGACTCTAGTGCGAGAAGTGGGCAGTGGGCTTGTGGTCTACAGGAGGAATGAGAGCTATGCCTTCTCCAGGTTGGGGTAACCTGCTTCTGGGAAGGAATGCGAGGCTTCCCTCATGGCTCAAACCCTCCTGGTCCCTGGGAGGAGTTAGGTTATTTTTCTCGCAAAACTGCCACTTTTGATTCAGGAGAATCAGTGTGAACATTTGTACACTTGTAGTTCCTACTAGGAGAAGGTGACTCTCCTGGCAGATGCATAATGCTCGAATTAACTGACACATTCTTAAACTTTAACAGAATGCAGAATAGATCATAACTCTGGTAAATCACCAATAAGTGGTCTGTGGGCCACAAACACAAATCTGATACCCTCTAATTAACTCCACCCACTTTCTATTGCCCATCCTACAGGGTAGGCAATCTTGGAACTGACACTGATAGTGAGTTATCAGGAGGAAAGATTTTGAAGAAGAGACAGATGTCTATTTCCATCTCAGTGCCTTATCACACATTGAAAGATGCCAGAGACTATTACAATACAGGACCTCTGGTTCCAAAATCGTAAGTGATTGGTACAGATTCTATATATGATAGCTTTCTACAGAAAATGTTGACTGAAGACCAAAAGCCCAGAAAACTATTTGAGACAGTCAGGTAGCTTGGAACAAAGACTTAACATAAGATCCCAAATGCAAATCATTTTACTTAAAAGGATGTAATTTCTGGTGTTCATCCTGTAAGCAGAAAACTTGGACTTAGATTTCCAAGACATCTTCATATCTTTAGATATGAAGATAACTAACTTGCTCATACATCATGCCACATCCCTATTCAACATAGGGGTTTAAACCTATAGTCTCCTTCTAGCCAGGTTGATGTTTTAAGGAATGTAGACTTGATTTGCAGAAGCTCTGGAGGCTAGGATCCAGAATGACCTTAAAATACTGGAGAAATGGTCCACAGTCAGTCAAATGAAATTTAACAAGGACATGTGAAGAGTCTTGCACTTAGGACAAAACAATTGCATGCACAAACAGACTAGGAATGACCGGCTATATTACAGTACTACACAGAAGGACCTGGGGGGGGTACAGTGGACCATCAGCTAAATATGGGCCAGCAATGTGCTCTTGCTGCAAAATAAGCCAACAGCATATTGGGTTGCATGAACATGAGCGTCACTTGCAAAATCAAGGGAAGTGATGTTTTTAGGTCTACTTAGCATTGCTGAGGCCTCACCTGGAGTACTTTTGGGTACTCCACGCTTCTAGAACGTGGACAGATTGGAAAGGGTCCAGCACATGAACAAAAACGGATTAGGGGCCTGAAAGGCTAGCCACCCGACTTGTGGCACACGTACCACAGGATGGCTACCCTTGTTCTACTGTACAAGCAAAAAACTTATTTTACTCAGTGTCAATGAAGAGCTCTTTTGAACCTTCCAATACAAGCTTTGTATGTTCAACTACACATTGAACATAAGGATAATATTCAAATTCCATAGTACAATAAAAGCTCTCTCAAAGCAATTTAAAGATACATACCCTTCCTGGAAGAACAACTGCTTTAACCACTCTTGATATTCCCAGGTCATACAGGCAAAGAACACTACCTTCTGCTTCTTCCAGTCCAACTAACAGTCCAATTCTTTTTTGCCAGGAAAACTCCTTTACCACAAGAACAGTAGGAGGGTGCTCATTTACTCCACTGAAACGATATGCAGATAGTCGCTCTCCTGTAACAGAGTTTACTACTTCCAGTTGAGGACCACATGTCAGATAAGCCAGTCCATTCCTCCCTAAGAGGAAAAGAAAAGCATGTGTAAGAATAAAGATAAACTGGAAAGATTAATTTGAAATTGTAAACTATCAGAACATGAAGTGAAGACATGTCCTCCCCAAAACAGCTACATAGAAATGTACATACTTGCAGTGATTAATGTTCGAGTTGGAGATTCTTTTTGAATGTACTTGCTTGTGTACACATACTAAAAATTAACTTATACTTCAATACAAAAACCAAGAAAGCAACAAGGTCCACATTAGACTACATAAATGAAGTAAAACGCATTAAAATAGTTGCATTTTAGGAAAACTGCCCTGAGCTTGGAAGAAATATTGGTAACCTGAAGGGGGTGGGTCTATTTAAATAGTTAATGATTTTAAATCACCTTGATTTAAAGCAGCATGCAAAAAAATCACTATCTAAACAAGGATTTTAATCCTGTTTTATATTTGTACTTTTTTTTTTCCAGTTGTTTTCCTAAAGAAAGGTTTTATTAACACTGGTTGAAATTAAACAGGTTTGCAGACTGGCTGGACAGCAGCTCTGCTGAAAAGGACCTGGGGGTTACAGCAGACAATACGCTGAATAGTAGCAAGTAGCGTGCCCTTGCTGCCAAGAAGGCTAACGACATACTGGGCTGCATTGGTACGAGTGCTGCCAGTAGATCAAGCGAAGTGATTATTCCCCTGTGTTCATAGTTTCATAGTTGGTATTCAGCACTGGTGAGGCCACATCTGGAGTACTGTGTTCAGTTTTGGGCCCCCAAGTACAGAAAGCACATGGACAAATAGCAAAAAGTCCAGCAGAGGGCAACAAAAATGGTGAGGGGGCTGGAGGACATGACTTCTGAGGAAAGACTGAGGGAACCAGACTTATTTACTCTAGAGAAGACTGAGAGGGGTTGAATAGAAGTCTTTAACTACCTGAAAGGGGGGTTTGAAAGAGGATGGAGCTAGACTCTTCTCAGCGGTGGCAGATGACAGAACAAGGAACAAGGGGCTCAAGTTCCAGGAAGGGAAGTTTAGGTTAGATATTAAGAAGAATTTGCTCACTAGGAGGGTAATAAAACACTGGAACAGGTTACCCAGAGAGGTGGTATAAGAAGTTCATCCTTGGAGGTTTTCAAAACCCAGCTAGACAAAGGTTTGGCTGGGATGATCTAGTCGTGAATGGTCCTGCTTTGAGCAGGGGTTGAACTAGATGACCTCCTGAGGTCCCTTCCAACCCTAACTTTCTAAGAATAAGAAAGTTCAATATTATAGAATCATAAACAAATTTAGCCTTACATTAAATTTAATATTTTTGTCAACCAGAAGGATGTTATATCCACTTGTATGAACAATTATATACCTTACCATGTGTCACAGATCCACAGGCAGAAATGCTGTACAGGATTCTTGCTCTAAAGGCTGAAGATAGGCTAGGGGGGAGGCTGTGTAGAATGTAGGCAGTGACAATTATGGCGGGGAGGGGCTCCTGGTGAGGAGAGGGGAAGGGAGATCCCCAGTTGAGGGAGCTAGCTGTGACGGAGGGGAGGCTGACCCCGACCCCAGATTTTCACAGGCATGTTACAAAGGGCTAGGTAGTCAGAATGTAGGGTAAAGACTTGGTCAATTTCATTTTACCTTGCTCTGTTGTCATAGAATCATGGAAAGTTAGGGTTGGAAGGGACCTCAGAGTATTTGATCACTTTTTCTTCTTTTATACCATTTGTTGTTCTGTATAATAAACCCTTTGGTTTTTCCTGTTACCTCTTACCTCGGGAGAGTAAATCAATAACCTGGGCACACCCATTCAAATTAGGAGACCAATAAGCTTAAATAAAGCCAGGGTGCATCTCTCAGAGCACCCCAATACGAGATGGTTTTGGCTCCCCTTAACAATTAATGAAGATTTAGCATATTTTTTATTTAACTACATAAAACTCAAATGTGCTAAATACATAAAAAGTCAGAAAAACATGTTTTGTGTTTATAATTGATAGATTACACAAACAAAGCAACAATTGATTATTTCTTGTCACAATGGGCCAGATTTTCAAAGGTCTTAATGTGTGTCTGAAGATGCAGATAGGTGTCTAGTCAGATTCTGAAAGAAAGGTTTAGGTAATTCAGCTTGCCTAAAAACTTCCAAGAAATGCCAATCTGCATCTTTAGGTACCTATTAATAACTCTACTCATCATGCAGGGATCCCGGTTTTCCGTTTCCCACAGAAAAACAGAAAACCACGGATTTCCCCTTTTTATCAGAGAAAACATGGATTTCTCCCTTTAGCAGAGAAACCGGCGGACTCCCTGCTTTTGCAAACATATCTGCAGACTGGTTGAGCTCCAGCCTGCAAAAGCTGTTTGCAAACAGGGCAGGAAACCCCCAGCAGAGGGAGAGGGTGCGGCCTGAGGCTCTCACTCAGCCATGGCTCCGCTAGGCTCAGCTCAGCTCAGCCTCACACTTGTCCTGGAGCCTGAGGTAAGTGGGGCTTGCAGGGGTCTGGGGGCCCCTCTGGTAGGGCCGGGGGAGGAGCCAGAAGCCAGCCCCAGCCCCGCCTGAGCAGTGTGGGAGCCAGCTCATGGTGCTTCTCCTGCAGTTGCCTGCTGTTGGGAGCAGGGAGCTGCAGACTTGGGGTCCTGGCAGCAGGGGGGCCCCTCTGGCTGGGTTGTGGGTAGGGGGCAAGAGGCATGAGTAGGGAAGGGGAACTGTTGTGGGGGCAGTGAGAGGCACCAGTAGGGCTGGAGGGGGCAGGCTTTTGGGGTAGTGAAAGGCACCAACAGGGCTGGGGGGGCATTCAGGGGGCTTTTAATTTTAATAACGGATTTTGGGGGTTTTGTAAAAGAATTTGCAGCTTTTCATCAGAGAATTTGTGACATTTTATCAGAGAAAACCAGGATCCCAGGTTGCTTCACCTTCAATTTTTACTCAGACTGAGGCAGCAGCTTTTCTTTCCTTTTTAAAAAAAAAAAAAAAATGCTGCATAATAATGCATTAAAATGTAAACACCAGTATCTACTCCACTATACAGACTGAAAATATAAAAATACTTAATGCAGTTACATGGCATAAGGCTTAAACTAAGTTAAACTTTTAGTATCACACAGCCATTGATTCTGTATATAATTAAAAAAAACAAATCCCAACTTCTTATCAAGACTTATTCATCCTGAACCTGATGTACCTCCATGGTGCTAAGCATGTTCTCAAAATATAGCTTAATAGTACTGTGTGTATTAAATAATCACTACTAACTATGAATTATCTAATTTCAACGTATATGGGCTAAATTTTAAAGGAAGCTAAAGTTTTACCTCCAGTAAACTTTCCCCGAAGTACAGACTCCAAAGTTATCTCATCTTCCCCGAGCGCTTGGATAGTCACTTCTGGAAACTGCAGCAGACTGCTTGTTACCTGAGCTGTTAGGTCTCGCATACTTCACTGTAAAGAAATATATTGACCAGTTGAGCCTTAGTCAGCAACTAACAAGCGGAGATTTATGAGTTATCAATGAGTACTACACTCCACATTACCTGTAAGGCCTGCTGTCATATCCAACATTCTAATATTATAAAAGCCTTTGTCTGTCACAATTCATGCACACTCTGATTGGCTGCCAAGACAGCCAATCAGAGTGCTCCAAGAGTGTTCGGACTGCAGGTGGTGGCAGCGGATCACTGCCATGACAGCAGGGACACGGGGGATGAGAGGGCCAAGGCCAGTGCTGCTGGCCTCATCCCCTGCACCCCCTCCCTGCTCCCAGGAGGCAGCAACGATGGAGCAGACAGAGCGGAGCATGAGGCAACTGGCCTTTCCCTGCGCCACCAGCTCCCTGGATGTAGCAGCGGCATGGAGTGCTGGGTGGCGATGCTCCATCCATGCTCCACCAACATTCATGGGGAGGGGAGATGGGGAGGGGAAAGCCCCACAACAGCAGTGGGAAGGGTAGAAGTGCACCAGGCCCAGCTGACTGGTCCACAGTGTTCCCTTGTGTGTCATCAACTACAAACACGGGCATGCCTTAACAAGGGTAGCGTGGTAAATCACTAAAGCTTAAAAGAACCTCTTTCAAGAACCTTATGATGGATGTTTTCATTTCAACTTTAAGAATTGCCTCCTCTCTCCCCCCCACTTTATTTTACAATTTTGGCAAATATTATTTCTCTTACAGTATAACAAAAGAATGCTTCCAAAAAATCTTGACTTTACAGACTTCTAGAGAAACATCAAGTCCCCCCAAATTTACTTTGCTTTTGGCATAAATTCAGAGAAGCCTTCAGAAAGAAGATCGTCTTATCATATCTATACGGGGCATTCCTTGAAAAGAGAAAATTTTGCTGACAAAAACTTGAACACTGGAGGTGTTCAAGAAGAGGCTGGACAGCCACAGTCAGGGATGATCTAGGCATAGTTATTCCTATATTCTACTATGGACAATTCCCATACTTCTGGGCTTTGCTAGTTGCTCCCTTTCCCCCACCTTTCTGCTACACATGCCAGCATATTTTTAAACCTCCCCAGTGGCATTGGGTGTTGGCTACAGCCAAGGCTGGGGACTCTGACTAAGGTTTGCCAACACTCCTGCTGGGAGCAAAGCTAGAGGCTCTTGCCCCTCTACTCAGGGTCAGACTGATCACCGTATTTGGGGTCAGGAATGAATCTAATACCATGGTCAGAATGGTACCGACTGCAGCAGTGTTTGCCTTTCTCTGTAGCAGGTGTGGCCCTCTACCTAGGATCTCTTGAGCATATACTGGCAACATTTCATAGAAGCAGAATATTGGCTGCTGTGCTTCCCGCTTTACTGTGGCAGCTTAGAGTGTGAGGTCTGTTTTGTGGCAGCGTTGACAATAGTCTTATGTAAAGTTTAGATTATGGATTGTATAGAATCATTTGGATAGGGATGATCCTGCCTTAAGCAGGGGGCTGGACTAGATGACCTCTACGGGTCCCTTCCAGCCCTACTTCTCTATAATTTTACAAAAAAGATGGGTATAGAGACCTGGCATGCTCTAGGTCACCAACAGACCCTGCCTGAGAAGAGTTGAGCTGCTGTGCCTATTGGCAGTACCAAAAAGCAGTAGGTGTCAAACAGAAAGCATAACACATGCAGGGTCTGGTATCAGGAACAAGACATATTTTGAGAAGAATACTGCTGGCAGCAAGGATGGTATTCAAAGGACACTGCTGTGGTAAGCCATGCTGAAAACTTTGCATCTACTGTTTCCCATGCTTGCATGTATACCAAATCATTTCAAACTGCTGGAGTTCCTAATGAGATAACAAATCTCTTGGAACAAGTTGGATTTGTTTTTAGATTTCATTTCTTAAAATATTTTAAAATAAAATTGAATTGAATAGTTTTACCAGACTCCACAAAGAAAAAAAACACAAACCTTTTTGAAGTTTTGATATACTAACAGCTTTACTGTAACTATACCATAAATAAGTCTCAAGTCATAAATACAGTGTATTGTAAGTCCAAAAGAAGACTAAGCTAAGAAACAGGCATTTGATTTAACGATTTGCTGCCTAAAATAAATTGTGGACCAGAAATATTAACCTGACAGGTTAGCAGACACTATTACTAAGAAGATTTTGGCTCTTTTTCTTTTTTTAAGATTTTTCTTTAAGATACTTGGAAGATGAAAAACAAACGGATGTAAATAAATTGGTTTTGCAATTATTTTAAAATTACTATAAAGCCCTGATTTGAATTATATTAATGATTCACAAGCTTGGGTCTGTAGACAGATAATATATAACATGGTGCCAACAAGCTTCTCCTTTCCAGCTGTTTCTGTAGGTACCTAGGCTTTTCATTGCCAAGGAGAGCCTAAAGGTCTATAAAAGCAGCCAATTACAGGCGACTGCTGCATTAGAAAGAAAAAGAAAATAGAAGCTGTCCACAGGATAGAAGATACTAACAGAAGAATGCTCAGAGGAGAAGATACAAGGCAGCCAAGCAGCACATTCAGGAGGAAGGATGAAATCAAGCAACAAGGACATTATGTTCTAGGTAGTCCGAGAAATAGAAGCAATAGATTGATACTGTGTGAGAAACAGAGAAGGAGACAATTTTGCTGTGAAACCAAAAAGATAACGGAAGAACTATAAATGGTACAAGCAATTCCTTCCACCCCCCAAAAAGGTCACAAATTCCAGTTCTGAAATTAAAGACACTTTTAAAAAAGGTCTTTATTTCTCAACTTATATTTGACAGCAGTTTGTGCAGCTTTACCATTTTTGATGATTAGTTGCACTTCCTATGTTACAAACTGCTTTCAGCCCACCTTGCTAGAAGCTGTTCACCAACAGCAGAAAAGCTGAAACTGAAGGGTGCATAGTGAAAAGCTGAAACAAGGAGCAGTAGACCAGCTTAGATGTAAATTTGAAGTTGCTCTTCAGAGCCTAAGATATCAGGGAGGAACAAAAAACCCTTTAAAAATTTTGGTTTTGGACAAGTAATTTGAAATGCACTATTTACTCACAAACTGTATTTTAAAAAGAGTAGCCACATTTAAAGATTCCTTTTGGCAATGTCCCTTAAAATTCACTGGTACGAGCAATTTTGAAAAAAGTGTATTAAAAAGCAAAATGTAATGAAGAGGACAAAATATAGGCAGGTACCTGATCATATTAAGTAACTGATTATCTTGCATTGTAAGCAAAAAAGTGGATGACACACCAAAAAGGAAGTAAGCCTACCTTTCCTACACCAAGAAAGGTCTAGTCCATCATTTCTAATAATCCACTTGTCAATTACAAAGATTCTGTGAATGCTTGACTCTTTCCTTTAAAAGGGATAGATCAGAAATAAACAGAAGGAGAGAATACTGAAATTTTCCATACTGGAAGAGTCATCTGAGGCCTCATGAGCCAATGGAAAGCATGTGATGAATCCCACTCAGGTAAATGTACTATGGGCTCACCTTCATTTGCCATGCTTATTCGCAAATGCCAAAAACAAGTTCATGAAGAAGTTCCTCAACTTTACACAGCGAGACTGGCCATGAAAATAAAAAGGTGCGTATTGCAAAGTACAAAACGTAAAGAAAAATTCTCAAGTTCATTTGCAGAAGAAAGCTTCTTCCCATTTAACAGACATTCCCCTAGCTCTAACACTAGCTCAGCTGAACCAGAGAAAACCAACAAATAGACAAATCTTCAATAGCTGGTCCTACTTTCACCACATATTTTACCTGATTCTCAGTAAACCATTGGTAGGTACAAATGGCAAAGCATCATCTGGCAACGGTTTCCTCAAGCAAACCAGGAGGCTTTTTTAAGGTTTTCCAGTACATATATAGCCTAATAGGAGTACAAATGACTGCAATAATTCACATAGAATCCACTGACCTGATTATTGGGATGTTTGCTTACCTCACTATATTGAATTATTGATTGAGTTAAATTCAATAAGGCTGCTGGGAAACAAGGAAGGAAGGTAAAACAAGGGATCAAGATAAGATGCTCTCAACAAACACTAGGTTTATTACAGGTCAGGGAGACAGTCATTGGTTACAAAGAGCTCAATCACATACAGCCAACTTTGAAAAGGGAATTCCTGATGCACACTTCATTACAAGAATTGCAGAGAGAAAATACGCCATTCCAGATGTATTATTTTTCACTTTTACTTCCTTTTTGCAACTAAACACTCAATGTTGCAGCAATTACTGCAGCATTTGAGGAAGGCTAGAGTCACCACTGTCCTTTAATTAGCTAGGCAAAAACATGCTTAACTGATGTGATAATAGCTGCAATGGTCCAGGGAATATGTCAGAAGTGAGGCCTGTGTAGTAGGCCAATCACATAATTGGGAGGGATGTTAGACAAGCTTTGAGGCCCCCACCTCATCCAGGGAGCACAGGCACCAACAACTCATACTTCAGGAGCAGTTCTCATACTGGTCAAAAATATGCATCAAGCTGTTTCTCACATACAGGTTAAAAATGGGAAAAGACCAAAGGAAAGGCAATGAGAGAAGGCAGTGATTTCACTTTGGCAAATACCATGAAAGTCAGTGTTATAGATATAGAGAATTCTGCCATGTTTTACTTCTACAGGAAGAGTAAACATTTGAGATTTATTGCAAGTGGCAGTTCATAGGATCACAGAAGTAGGACTGGACAGGACATCACACACAGGTCTCCAACTAAATCAACCCAGACAAGTATCGGTCTAACCTGCCCTTGAAAATGTCCAAGGATGGAGATCTCATAGTTTCTCTAAGCAGCCCATCCCAATGCTTGACCATTCTCCAGTCAGCAAGTTCCTTCTAATCTCCAATCTAAATTTTCACTGCTGCAGCTTGAGGTCACTGCTCCTAGTCTGGTCCCCTACAGCCGCAGAGAAAACCCCATCTCCATCTTCTCTGTAATCACCCTTCAGGTATTTGAAGACTGTTATCAAATCCCCCTTCAGTCTTCTCTTCTCCAGACCTTTCCAAACTGTCTGCATCCTTCTTGAAGTGCGAGATCCAAAACTGGACACAGTACTCCCAGATGAGGCCTCCTCAGTGCTTTGGTTGGTTTGTTCATTCTCACCTGCATTCAGAAAACACAAATCCCGCTACAAGATCCCTGAAGTTTTGGGCAAGAATGTTGGTATTTAATGTAGAAGGTAACTCCCCTATTAGAAAAGCCACCTCTAACAGAGATCTTGCTACTTAAGTGTTGCTACCACCTATAGCTTACTGAGATGCAGACGTAGTAAACACTTCTTGTAAGTTTCACTCTGATGATGAAGACGCTTTGAACAGCAGCACTAAGAAAAAGTAGATCATCTTATGCATCTGACTGCTTGAGGATCACCAAGCAATCAGCCAACTAAGATCCTGTATCAGATGCAGTTAACAGTTCTACCTCACACCCAAGCAAAAAAAAAAAGATAGCAGCCTTGCAAACACTAGGGCTTTGCAGCAGGGCTAGGCCTACAGCAGAGGAGCCTTAGTTACAAGTAAATACGCAGGTGCACAAAGAGGTGTGATACCTGACTGACAGCTGTAGTGGTAGGAACCCCCTGGTACAGATGTAATTATACTGTCAAAAGAGCTCTCTTATTAGTCTAAGCTTAAAGTATTCTTCTGAGGATGGGAAAGTGTTACTACTCAGATACAAACAGTGTTTTCTTGTATATTCAAGTCCACACTAGGAGCATTTTGTCAGTGTAACACTGGTATTTCCACACTACCCAAGACGTCAGGCAAACTCTGTTTACAGGAACCATTAAATATACATCACCAGAGAGCACTATTATAAGCTTGATGGCAAAACACACTTAAGGCCTGCTTTTACAAGCCCTTCTCCCTTTTATAGAAGTTGGTATCATGGCTCTTCCTCCCCTTCCCCCCCATGCCCCCAATGTAACACCTGCATAGTTACCACTATGATTTTGGCTAAACCACAACTCTTGGAGAAGAGAAGACTAATAGCAGCAGCCTTCAACTACCTGAAGGGGGGTTCATAAGAGGATGGAGCTGGACTGCTCTCAGTGGGGGCAGAAGACAGAACAAGGAGCAATGGTCTCCAGTGCAGCAAGGGATGTTTAGGTTAGATATAAGGAAAAACTCTGTCATGAGGGGGGAGCAAAGCACTGGAACAGGTTACCCAGAGAGGTACCCATCCTTGGAAGTTTTTAAGACTCAGCTGGATGCAGCCTTGGCTGGGATGATATATCTGGGGACAGTGGTGCTTGGAGCACAGGATAGGACTCAGCAGTTCTGAACTTGTTTGGTACCAGGACCCATCCGGAAATCTTCAAGAGGAGACTAGACAGTCACCTTGCTGGGGTCATCTGACCCCCCCCAGTTATCTTTCCTGCTTGGTGCAGGGGGCTGGACCTGATGATCTTCAGAGGTCCCTTCCAGCCTTGCAGTCTATGAATCGGTCCTAGCCTGGTCCCCCTCACTCCCAACCTGCTGCTCCCTGCCCCCAAGTGTGTGGGGCAGGAAGTATGTGGGGGCAAGGAGGCGCTCTCCAAGCAGCCCCTTGCAAGCTGTAACTCTGCCAGCTTCCAAGGAAAAGCCACCGCTTCCCCGTTTTATGGGGGAACCCATTTTTAAAGTTTGTTCATGACCTTTTCATATATTCTTGCGACCCACGGGGTGAGACACGCAGGACCCCCAATATCTGTGCCGCTACGACCCTGGCGCGGACTCCGCCGGAGGCAACCGCCCGGAGCGCGGGGCCAGGAAGCTGTAACTCTGCCAGCTTCCAAGGAAAAGCCACCGCTTCCCCGTTTTATGGGGGAACCCATTTTTAAAGTTTGTTCATGACCTTTTCATATATTCTTGCGACCCACGGGGTGAGACACGCAGGACCCCCAATATCTGTGCCGCTACGACCCTGGCGCGGACTCCGCCGGAGGCAACCGCCCGGAGCGCGGGGCCAGGCCGGCTCCAGGGCCGCCCCGGGCCCGCCCCGGGACCCGGCGCGCTCCGCTCGCTCCGCGTTGGACTGCGGACACAGCCAGCAGCGCCGCGCCCAGACCTGTCCCCCGCCCCG